GGCTCCTCCTGACAGGACGCTGGACGCCGCGCTCCTTCGCAGCTTTCGGGACACTTCTCCCCCTCCGTCACCTGGCTGCGAGCGTCTTAAGGACTGTTTTTTTGTGGTTTTCTGACAAAGAACAGGCTCTCACAACAGGAAAATGTAGAAATTCTCCCAGTTCTTCTCCTGACAGCTGCATTTTTACATGCTTCCTGCCAGCTGCAAAAAAATATTCCAGTCTTGTGGTTAGCTGTCAGCATTTCCACATCAGAAACATTTGCGAGGGCAGGGTGGAGGTTGTCTTAAAAGAAATTAAACACACACACACAAAAACCCAACAAAACAAGGAGGAAGGAAGTTGCACGCAAAATTCTGTGAGGAAGCTTCGCAATGCTGCAAGAGACCAGGCTTCGGGAGGGATTCTGTGTTACATAGGAGGAGAGGACAGATTCTGTAGGGCCTTGTCTTGTTACCTTCACGAGCTGGAGACAAAGAAATAAGGTTCACAACAACACTTTTAAGGCATTCATTGCATAAGCAGTTTCTTCTTCACGCACAACAGGGCCTAGAGTTCTTCAGAAGGCATTGCCTACGCGTAGCTAAAGATTACATTTACTTTGCCCAGAGAATGATAAGAGTTCTTGCTGTAACTGTAATTATGTAGCTTTCTATTACTGATTAGATTGTTAACTTAGTCATCAAATATACTTGCATTGTCTCTAGCAGACGTGGCTGTTTGATAGGAATCAGTGATCTCATTCCTTTATAGGAACAGCGCTAGAAAAATTATATACAGCCTTGTATACTGCAAGGCAGCATGGTCCTACCACACAGCTCTCCCATGGAAAAGCTGATGATTATGTCAGCCACATCTTAGAACAACTCTATGCAACATTTAGTTGTATCCCAAACTGTTGTTTCTCATTCCACAGCTTTTGCTTCTGCCCACTACTCTGTCTGACACAGGCTAAATGTAAGTGGAATAGAACAAAAGTCTTTACACAAACATCAGTAAAGATCAGCCCTGTTTCCATATTTAGGACTTCCTCAACCCCTAGAGCCACTCCTCAAAGATCTCATTAGTGTATCTCCACCAGCTGTCTTGTTCAGTATCAAGAAAATGTTTTTTCTCACTATTCTGCTGTTTTCCTACCGTAAGCCAAGGACATACTTCTTACATATTACAAATCTTTCTAAACAAGAATCATTGTTTCTTGTCTGAAACCTTTCTTTTTTTATCTTAGTTCAAATGTCTCAGCAGATTCAGAAAACTACTGCAAATGGCAAAGGTAGGTTGGTTTGGTTTTTTTTTTTGGTTTTTGGGATACGTGCTGAAATCAACTGTTAACAAAAAAATGGGGGAGGGATTTTAAAATGTCCAAAATCTTAAGGTAAAATTAAATCCTTTGCCCCTGTCTGTGCAGGGAGGCAGTTTACAAGTTTCTATACAAAATTAACTGTTTCTTTGTGACTTTACTGACTTGTATATAGAGTCAAAATTGCTTTAAGTTGTTAAAACGTACTTTTTCCCCTCCAGATGTGTCATAATTTATCTTAGTCATTACTGCTTCATTACTGTTTTCTATGAAAATACACTACAAGGTTTTATTACAAATTTATTTGTATGATCTCATAAAAGCAAACTACTTTGATAGACCGTTAAGGCTCCTGCTGCTACAATTTAAAAGTTCAGTCTACTTATACAAGTTTAATTCTGCCTGTTTACATATGGCAGCAAATAAAATACTGCTTTTACCTTCACGTTCACACGTTAACTCTCAACAAGCATATGAGGTTACTTTCTCCTACAATTAACACCCCATAATATTTATATTTATCTTTTGTACATCTATTATTTTCATTGCTGCTGTAGTTCAAAAGTGGGGTTTTTTTTTGTTCATCTGGACATCTGTTGGCTTTGTGTGTATATGCTCTCTTTTGTATGCATTTTGCATCAACTGTTTTAAGCTGCGTACTGATTTTGAAAAATACAAAGTTGTGTTGCCCACTACCAGAGGCGGAAAAAAATATAACCCCCTATTTCAAAAGAAATAAGTGTAGCCTTGTCATCAACATACGTTGGGAAAAATCTGAGAGTTTCTTTGATGATAGGTGCATTGAACTCACTTAGAAGTTTCTTCTTTCCAGAGATGCTGTCCAATCCCAGTCTCATACCTGTGCAGGGGACTTTGAATGTAGTGATGAAGCAGAACGTGACCCTTTCCTGTCACTCAGAGTCTGGATCTCCACCTGTCAGATACACATTGTTTAAACACAATCAGAAGGTATCCACTTTAAAAAGGCCAGACTTGACCCCCAGTTTGTTTAACCTGACTATCAACTCTGCCAGTGATGTGGGTGAATACAAATGCAAAGCTGAGAATAACAACACCCGTGGTGGAAAATACAGCAACAGTCTCAACTTCACCCTTATAGGTATGTCTTGCTGTATACCTTCTCAGCACATTTTATTTTAGGGGCACGTAGCCATGTCTGATGCAATGTATCTGCAGCAGCAGGAGTCAGGGTTTTGCTTGTGGCAGGTACTGCTTTGGATGCAGTGTACGCTTGGCTTGATTGCAGAGCTGAACTTTACTGCAAATGCCTACTATTTCCTTCGGAGTTGGCAGTGCTATTCTGACCTGGCTCACTGAGCCCTCCAGCCTTGATGCCCATCTCACTTGCTGATGCTGCCACTTAACTCTGAGTCTTGCTTTGGAGCTTGTCCTGCGCTCAGTGATGCAGTCTTTTGAGTCTTCTTTTTACAGAGCCAATTTCCAAACCAGTGCTGAGCTCACCCACCTCTCAAGCAAAGAAAGGCCAGAACGTGACCCTGTCTTGTCTCGCAGAAAATGGCTCTCTTCCTATCACATACATATTCTTCAAAGGAAGACAAAGCATCTCTCTCCCACTGAAGATGCAGAAGAGGGAAGCAGCTGTGATTTTTCTATTTATCAATTCCTCTGGTGACTTTGGAACCTATAAATGCAGAGCTGAAAATAGTTTTCGCAATAATACAAAATACAGCAATAGTTTCAACTTTACATTAGCAGGTATGCATATATGAAACAGCTTACCGCTGCTGATAAACAGGGACCACACAGAATTCAGAATATTCAAAGTCTGGATGTTAATTTACAGAAAATACTTAAAATTTGAATCAATGTTTCATTGCATAAACACCTTTTATTTTTTTCTTCTTTTCAGCAGAAGAAAGAAGCCATTCTCAACCCCTGATAATTTCTCTTGTGCTGATCTTGCTACTATTTGTAATAGGATTTGCTCTGGCAATTAAATTTTTCATAATTCCTTCATATAAATCAAGTAAGTTATGTGAATGTTTCATTTTCTAGAAGAGTTCATTTATGTTGTCAATACATTTTAGTGTGTAAACATCATGCTACTAGTAGAGTTATGCTCTTGGTATTTTAGGATGTTGGCAAGTCTCCTCTTAATTGACATAGACAATTGCCATAGACAAGACAAAATGTCTGAGCTATGTTTTAGATGGCAGGTCTGGGATGGAGGAAGCAAAGCAACATCTAATTTAATACACATAAATGTTGGAAGGAATTTAATGTCATTGTTCTTAGTAAAGAAAGGAAATTATATTTAAAATGTCCTTGGCAATTTTTATCATGACAATAACATTATCTGAGATCCCGAAGTATTCAAAAAATATCAGGGAGCTGTTTATTTCCCTCTAAGAAAAAATGATGTATGTATATAGGCATGTATTTGTTTTTCTTTTACAATTTGCAGAAAAATTTAAGTCTTATAGGTCCTCAGCTGGCCGTACTTCAACAATGAATGCAGAAGAGTCTGAAAACTACGTCATATACACAGAGATTGGTAAGTTCACGTTACTCCCCATGCAGTCATGAAAGTTACTTGTGGGAGTTTGGTTGAAGGATGCTATTCCAGTATTTTTAGCTAGTATGGGCAAATTTCCTCAGGTGCTGCAAAAGCGGCAGAAGGGGACACCTACTACCATTCACTAAGTGAGCTAATACTCCTACTGCCCATGCCTGGGAGAGGCATTATCTGAAGTCCCTTGAGATCTACTCAACCTATACAAAAATCTACTGTAAACACAAGTAAAATGAAGGATTGCATTTGGCAGCTCATGGTAAGGACTGAAATAGCCATTAGAGACGAAAAGAAAATTAAGACAGTAAGTAGACCAGAGGTGCAATGCCCACTTACTAGGAGACAAAAGTGGACCATATGCAAGCTCCTGCATTCTGTTCAAAATTGTTCAGTACACAGTAGTTCTTTATTCCATGTTTCTTAACTTTGATGAAACTCAAAGTCGGTTCAAACTGAAATTATGAAGTAATGCTAGACAACAAAGCAACTGAACTATGTTAAGACATTGTACTAATCAACTGCAGAAAATATAATGAAGACATTACATGAAAGCCACGATGCCATTAACTTGTAGTTTTCTACATTTGCCTTATACCTGAATGTCAATATTTTCAAGGGAAAAAGAAACCCCAAAACAAACCAAAAGCAAAGGTATTATGTTTCCCATTTCTAAATATCAAAAAGGGAATAATTCTCTCCAAACAAATCTGCCTTCCTGCTAATGTATAGACAGAACTCTAGTTGCTGTGTTGTGTTAGCTCAGTGCTCTGTGGAGCTGCTTATACCAGATACCAGCATTCTACCCATATAGGCTGCAAGCGCAGTGACAATAACTCAGATAAGGCCCAGGAACACTACAGAAATGGAATCTCTCTGCTTTGTTTCAAGATTATTAAAAAAAAAATATCTGGTCAGTCTCTTATAGTTAACAGCTGTTCATCATCTTTAATCTAGAGCCTGTTAAACCAGAAGAAGAATACGTCAACTTTTCTGTTATTAGAAAAGAAGATGAAAAAGGTGAAAATCTCAAGCTATAATACTGGAACATCTGATGTGCACAAATACGGTTTTGGGGGATTTTACTGTGGGAGGCAGGGTTTAGATAGTAGCAGTTACATACCGAAATTGCTTACTCACTATGGAGAAATTAAAATAACTTTAAGAGACTTTCTTGAGGTGAAAAAAGCAAACAAAAACCCCCAAATAAAAAGCCTATTGCCATCCAATGACCCAAAAATTGAACAGCCTCATTATGAAAACATGCAAGAGACATTAGTTATTAAGTTGCTGATGGAATATTAATTCTCCTGTTGTGTATCCATACCAAAAAAGGAATTACAAATTATGTTATCCTGGCTTTTAGCAGAGAAGGTGGCACATACTACAGTCTATTCAAAGGTCCTCATCAGAGATTAAGTACAAGGTAAGATCAATTTTGTGATTAACTAAATTACGTATTTTTAAAGAATCGTTCAGTCCTCAGATGTGAAAAGTACTACCAAGTCTGCACAGAAAGAGATGATGTTTAGCAACTAGCTTCCTGGTCTAATCATTTTATAGACAGACAATACAGCTTGTTCTCTACCAGCAAGCAAAATCCTCAAGTCATGATCTGTAGCATTATATGCATCTGTGAATAAACAGAAAGGAATAAATGATGTAAAGCTTTCACCCAGACCCCAGTTCCTGTACGTTTTAACAATGCTCCTGAAGTAGAAACTGGATCGTATACAAACATAAATATTCAAAAGGCTTTAGTCAAGTATTAAAAATAATCCCAACTGTGTTGTCCTCTTAGGCACATGGTAGAGGATGCATATTTGGCCTTTGTACCTTCTGTTACCTAGCAGCAAGTATGGCATTTTCTCAGTTCAGCATTACTTCAGCTTGCAGAGCAGGGACAGGATGCTAACTTTTGGGACAGTTAACTCAAAACCCAATTGTGCATCCTGCTACAGGCTGTTTTCTGGGGTTTTTTTAATGTCATTCCACAGCCAGCTTGTGTAGAATTCCATGAGTGTTCAGTAAGTCACACAGCCACCGTATGCTAACCTTGCATTACATCTAACATAATTACACTATGCAGCAATTTATAGTTAAATATAGTTAAATAAGCACCATGTTAACAGAAGAATGTTTTAAGGCAACTTCTTGTGCTTTATGACATTGATGACTATCTGTGGCCACATGCCTTGTTGCATACACCGTATTTAACAAGCTGTACATGCACAGTAAACCTACAGAAGATCAGAATCACTCAGTTTCATATCTATGCAAACTCTTGTATCTGATTTTGACTTTGGGATATGGAATAAATACGGTCACTTACTAGTCTTTTCCCACCATTTTGTATGTACAGACATTTTTTGTCCACAGAAATGCTTGTCAAAAACTGTTTACAATTTATTTCTTCTATTTCCTCTGTTACTTTTGATAAAGTATACCTGATTTCTATGTTTATCAAGTGCAAGATCAAGTAGCTTATATGTTGAAGAACTGAGGCCATGTGATTACAACACATTCTGACAAACAGATAGTAGAAAGATATTTACTGATGCTACTAAAACATTCAAGATTTGAAAGTCTTTTATATAAAATACCATTTTCCAGCAGAGACCATAACTGTGTCAGCAATACACAGATGAAAGATTGTTAGGTTAAGATGGAGTATTTTCAATAAGATAATAAAACACATGAAAAAGAATATGGTTAGCTCTGTTAACGAGGGATAAGTCTGTCTCTTCCCTCTTTTCAAGGTAACCTGGAAGACCCAGATGGTCTAGATTTGACAAAAAAAGAAGATACACCACCAAGTGTTAGCAGAACTATTTGCAGAGAAAACAGAGTCCATGACTCTATAGAAGCCAGTTCAGGCCCAAATGTTTAAGAAATTCCTTTTATTCAATGAATAAAAGTTTACACATCTTTAGCTGATGTTACATACTTAGTTAAAAAGTCCTTCAGCCTAGAAATATGCATCATTTCCTTCATGGTAGTGTCTCTACTTCTCAGCTGGACCACTCCACTCTCTAGAGTGGCATCAGTTATCAAGATGGTGAAGAGAATGCTCATCTCATCGTACCTGCAAAGAAACGAGCACATCTGTTACTGCTTTTGGTGTATGAAAAAATCAGATAAGTTATGTACAAATGACCATAAGTTGTAAATATTTATTTTTGCTATACTGTACTAAGTCTTGTGTCAAGACACCAGATTTCTTGTTGTCATTCCTTACTTTCCTGCTTACATTTCTTTAAATTATTTAGTCACTCTAGTACATAAAAAGAATGTTATTTGGTGACCTATTACCAGAGTATTTTTGTAGAAGCAGAATATATATTTTTTCTGTTATTTAATAGCCAGACTTGCTTTGAAGACTACTGCACAGAACAAAGTTATATTTATCTTCTCTTGGGAAAATACATTCATCAATATGCTCAAGATCCACTGACATGAGCAGCGATATGCTCAAAATTCACTCCTGATCAACAAATCATATATGAAGCCCCCAACGGGAATAGTTGTTTTTATCTGCACAAATAATTCCATCACATACACTGACGATAATGGTTCCAGACTTGGAAGAACTTTCAAGTTCAAGACTACCCACAGGGTGCTACTTGTAACAGTACTTAAGAGAGACACACAGAACCAGTCCAGATGCAAAGATGGGGGGTGAGGGTGGGAAACTGCTCTGCGAGCTTATAACTCATCTTAAAAAATGTATTGTCAATAGGAGAGTCTCTGAAAGGCATTTCACAGTTCCGGAGAAACAACAACGTGTGAAAGGCTTATACTTAATTTAAAAAATGAACTATCTGACATTGCTCTTCACAGTAAAACAAATTCAATCCAAGTTTATAGTTCGGGATACATGCCTTCAGTCATGTGGTTACTGCACTCGATGACTTCTTACTGAAAACAGGCATATTTTCGCTAGTTCACAGAAAGTCATCTTTTACCTTCATAGTTGAATTTACAAAAGACTGTTTCTCCTTACTTTGTATAAAGCTGTTCCAGAGATACCTGCACAGTTTCAAGATAACCCGGCCATACAGAAATTCTATTTTCTGACAGTTCATTGAACAATCCTTGACAAACCTGTGTTTATTTAAAAACAAAAGACAGACTTTGAGAGTTTGAAATCCTATACAAATAAACCATTAAAACTCGAGGATGCATGCTACTAGCATTCCTAGCTGGTGTTGATTTTCTGGCTGGAATAATCTCAAAGTAGAAAGCAGCCTGGCAATTAAATATCCATTTCTATTTAAAAACATGCCAGTTAAGTTTCCTCCCTTCTGTGGAGACTAGCTTAATGACTGCCTTAAATAAAAACTTTTTAAAAAATCCTTCTGAAGATGTGACCCTTGCGCTAAAATAATTCTGAAAGATTAAGAAGCTGGGAGGGATTTTGTTATTTATTTTCCTTAATTTTGCATGGAACAAATATCAACTCTATTAGTAGCACTAAAATCTGTGTGTTAATGTAGGGAAGGCACCTACTACCCACTGTCTGCGGAGTACTCCTTTGGCTATGACTCACAAGCTGCACAGCAGGAGCACTGTGAAATCTGTACAACCATGAATCTCTGAGAATCAAAGTAGCAGCATGATTTTCCCCAACATATACAATGTCTAAATTATAGCAGAAGGTTACATGGAAAGTCAATACTCAAAATTAAAATACTTTCTTACAACATACCTGTCTCAGCTCTGTTGTTGGTCCTTTTCCTACATCCAAGGCCACTTTAAGAGGTGCTAAACAAGGATGAAGCTTAAGTACCTAATAATTTTACAAAAAATAACAAATTACTAAATGTAGTTAGTTTGAATTTCTAAACAGACCTAGGAAGTATTAAATTTTTTTCACTTAAATTAAAGTCTAAACATGCAAAAATTTTCTCATAGCACAAAATCCCAGCTAAATTAGCATGGCAGAAATTACACTGTTTTCGCCAAGCCTCAGAAAAGAGATGAAGTTTTGTTAGCAGAGCTCCATCATCTTTAATGGAGCTGGAGTGATCAGAGACGGCCCATCAGACAGTTACCATGCCACCTATCACCCATTCTTACAGAACAATGGCTGTTTGATTAACAAGCACTGTCTGAAAGCCAGCACTCTAACTCCACTAAACGAGGGTAAAAGTGGGAATAATGATCGTCTGTGGGGAAATGCCCCACTACCACCTGTGACCCACTTTTTCTACTCTATTCTGGCAGCTTTTGAAGGTTGCTGAGGAGACAAACTTCTCTTTCCCATGCACAGCAGCTACATTCCAATTCCTCCTAACTCCTTAATGACTTGCATGGCAAGAGCCTACCTACTCTGATCAGAGAGTAAGAAGGTAAAACAGGAAAGGTCCCTCAGAATGAGAGAAAAATTGCTTATGCGGGTGAAAAGGACTGCAGAGGCAGTCCCATGGGGCCAGCCTATTGCTCCCAGTGAGAAGCGTTCACTCTGAACCCACTGGGGACAGAAACAGAGGACGGAGATGTGGAAAAAGGAGATATTTATATCCTTGAATTTAGCACATTGTCTGTAGGTTTTGTACTTAGACCTGCCCCTGCCTTCCACCATCCATTCTTCCTTACACTTTCTACAGAAAGTTACCTTTCGCTGTGAGTTTTTCTTTTTTGTAAATGGATTCTCTGCTAGCTGTAGAGAATCAAAGAGATATGCTAATGCTCCTCGGTCCAGATTTCCACTCACAGACAGAACATGAGGAATAACATTCTTCCTTCCATCTCGGCCCTGAGGAGGAAAGAAAACCACAAAGGGATACCTCACTACTGTCCCAAAGGGCCTTTTGTTTACTTTAAACGTATAATGAGGCACTGAGCTCAAGCACCCTTATTACATTTAAAATACAGTCAGACATACAGTTTTAAAAGTTACCAGCAATCTTAAAAGTATAACAATAACTAAATAAGATTGTAACACTGGGGAAAGCAGAAGATCAGAGCAGGATGGAACTATTACCCTGTCGGGCCTCTCTGGTCATAAATTCAAACCTATGGCCAATACCCTTGAAACTCTGCATCTTCTTTTGAAGATTTGTAATTACTTTAGTAATCTAATCACTAAAGTGACACCAAGCATTCATCCCCACATTTTGAGAAATCACTGCGTAACCCAGTTTTGTAGGTTACACTACTGTCTTCTGCCTTCTGTATAGAAACAAGCTGCAAAACCAGGAAAGACAAACGGAACTGTCAGCAGGAGAAGGTTGCAATTTACTGGTACAATACCAAGTTACTCTTGTATATGTTCAGCCTATATGTTTCAAACATTGCCATTCGCTAGAAGTTTGCCCCACTCCAGTATATTCAGTAGAAAGATTTCCCTCTGATCCATTACCCCTTCTGAGCGTCGTAACTTCTATAAAGCCATTTGCAGTGTTTCATTATCCATTGATCCATATATACTTCAACATATATGGAATTGGACAAGCTACAGAAAGAAAAAACCTTTACAGACTCTTTTTGATGTGAACTTAACACTGCAAAACACAGACTGAGTTTGTCTTGACATCTGCTCACAGATACAGGAAAGGCTATGCAACTGACAACAGCTGTCTTGTCAATACAGCTTATTTCCAACTTCAAAGAATCAATTCCTTGAAAAAAAAATCTAAACCACTATTTTATCTCCTTTCGAAAATTAAGGTCTGACTGCAGAGGGACAATTATACTGCTTTTACAACAAAAGAATAAAAAGACCATCACATGTTAAGCACCTGGGCCAGCAAAGAAACCATTTCTCTCACACGTTATCATCTTTATCAGAAAAGGTTTTTAACATAGTAAAGCTTACAAGTAATTTTGAACTATCCCCTGGATACATCTGTAACAGTTCAGTATCACCAAGGTTCTTCAATGTTTCTATTGTTTCTGTCCCCCAGGGAAAGCTGTAATGTAAATTAAATCCTCTTCTCCCTTCTTCATCCTGAAAGTCACTGCTGCTGAAGTTAGATGGGCCCACTGCAAACTGAAAATAAAAGATGTAAGAGGTGATCGCTACTGCTCATGCTGTATTAACTACAGAGAACACATCTGTGATGCAAGCTGAAATCTGCGATTTTCATCAAAATATTTTTATAAATTACAGCCTGAATCTCTTTGTTGTTTTCCAGCATTTTGATCTCAAATCACTTACAGACACAAAACATTTGCCCTTCTGCAAGTCGGGTTGTAAACTACTTAACTACTTGTCATAAATGTAAACAGACTTTTGGGCTTCTCACAAGAAATACACGTATTTCATTTACAAGAACAGCAAGCAATATAACACCATAAAACCCATCAGGGTGTCTATTCCCCCTCTCTTTGGGATATAAAGGAGCAAGCCAAGACTTCCCACAGGTACACTGCTATTACCTTTCTCCACCATTGAAGTCTCTGGCGTAACCAGTAATCAAGCCACTGTCCTGCAGTTCTGGGAGAGCTAAACCATGCAAGCAAAGACGTGGTCCTTTCGCCTATTCTTTAAACAATAGCAAGGTCAGCAAGTTAACTCCTTCAAAAATAACAGGGAAAAAGCAAGAGACGGAATTCAAAAATAATCCAAAAGTGAAACAAGTGCAAAGAGTTGGCTTATGTATGAAAAAGGGATTAATCCCTCTATTACTCTACCTCCTAAGGTTTTTGTTGTGTTGTTCACTTTCCGGAATAGAGTGAAAGCATACTCCAACTTGAGCGAGGCCACAAGGCAGTCTTTTGTTCAGCAATTCTAAGCAGCTAACATACTGCGCCAAAGCACCTGTCAAAAGACAAAGCGTTAGTTTTAGTAGCCACATGAAAAAGTTTAATTTTTTAATTCTGCTGAGACTGAATGTAGCGCATGTAACACACATAACATTTGTACGTACAGTCCCACTAGCATTA